TAAAATATAAATTAAAATCCTTATCGAAATAACTTTTCTCACCTATTGACAAAACTTCAAAATTTGACAATATACTCAGTGAGATTTTGGGAAAACTAGGCTCTCGTACATTTCTGATGGGAATGCAAAATAGCTCAGTCTTTATAAGGGCAAATTTATCAATAGTTAACAAAGTTATAAATGTATATTCCCATTTCTAGTAGTCTATCTCAAAGATACAAATGTAAATAAACAAAAAAATTTGCTATTTTTGCTTGTATTTGCAGGATGAACCAATGAAATTCTGATGTAAATTACTACCCATGAAGGAATAGGATGGATGGGACAGTGATGGAAATGAGACCTGTCTGAATGCAGTTATTTAGTCTTAACCTTGAATAATAAAAATGTTTGTATAATAATAAATTAAATTAAAATCAACATCTAGAAATTTCAAATAAATGAAAGCAAATTAATCTAATATGTTGTATAGGATCTTGACTGAATATCCTCAGTGGGATACTCTAAGGATAAAAAGAACTGCGAAAAAAAAAATCCTGAACTTCATTCTATGTTCTTATTAGTAATGATATTAAGATTGATATTTTGATACAAATATATTTATATTGTTGGCTAAAACAAGCAATTATGCTGATAATGTTAAGAACCAGGGTTCTCAACATGAGAAAAGACATTTAAGTAAATTGAACCAAAGGTTTTATGTAAAAATCCAGTAATCGGAGGTGCCTGGGTGGCTCAGTCGGTTAAGCAGCGGGCTTTGTCTCAGGTCATGATCCCCGGGTCCTGGAATGGAGCCCCTCGTTGGACTCCCTGCTCATCCGGGAGCCTGCTTCTGCCCCTCCCCCTCTCATGCTCACGCACATGTGCGCACGCGTGCACTCTCTCTTTCTCTTTCTCTCTCTCTCTCTGAAATAAATAAAATCTTAAAAATAATCTTCCTGGTGCTATCCAATGAAAAGCTCTAGAAACAATGACAACCAGCAGCAGTGAACACCACTAAAACCTAGATTGTGGTCTTCAAATATCATTCCTCATCTACAAGAAATAACTAAAGCTAATAAATGAATTTGGCAGTCATAGGATATAAGGCTATATACAAAATTCAATTTAATTTCTATATGTTACTAATAAACAACTGGAAACTGAAATTTAAAATACCATTTACAGTAATATCCAAAACTGAAATACTTATTTTAACAAAATATGTATGAGACCTGTACACTGAAACCACAAAACATTGTTGACAAAAATTAAAGAAGATCTAAATAAATGGAAAGGTACACCATGCTTATAGATGGAAACAATCAATATTGTTAAAATGTCAATGCTCCCCAAGTTGGTCTATAGATTCAATGCAATTCCAATAATAATTTCAGGAGTCTTTTTTGTAGATATTGACAAGCTAAAACTAATATGGAAATTCAAAGAACCTAACAATCATGAAAAAGAAAAACAAAGATCAAAGACTTACACTACTTCCTTTCAAAATTTCCCATAAAGCGAGCATAATAGAGATCAATGCAACAGAATAGAGTCCACAGATAGACCCGTGCATATGTGGTCAACTGATTTTCAAAAATGATGCCAAGGTAATTCAATGAAGGAAAAAAACAGTCTTTTAAACAAATGGTGTGAAAATAGGAAAAAAATGAAACTCGATTCTTACCTTACACCATACACAAAAAATTAACTCAAAATGGATCAAACCATAAAATTTTTAGAAAACATAGGGGAAAAAAGTCTTTACAACTTTGGGATGGTGAAAGATACTTTCAGACACATAAAAGCAGAAGCCTTAAAAGAAATAATTGATAATCTAGACTTTCTGAAAACATAAAACTTCTGCTCTTTGAAAAACACAGTAGGGAAATTAAATTAAATGGCAAGCCACAAACTGGGAGAAATATTCACAATACATATACCTGTCAAAAGACTTGAATTCAGAATATATATAAAAAAGAAACCTTTACAACTTAGTAATAAAAACACAACCCAACTATTTTTAATGGGTGAAAGATTTGAACAGACACTTTCACCAAAGATATATGGTCAATCAGCACACAAAAAGATGCTCACAATCATTAGTTATCAGTGAAATGCAAGTTAAAACCACAATGAAATACCACTACACACCCATTAGAATAGCTAAAATTAAATACCATTTATCATTCCAAGGCACCAAGCCTAATCCATGTGTGGGGTAGAAAATATACAAGATGAGCTTGGAACAGCTTGTTGTACCAGAAAGCAAAGATGTTATCAAAACCTAATAATGGGAACACATCAAAAAACAAAAAAACATGAGCCAGCTGGAAGGGGCTCCCATTGGTCAAGATGAGATGATTTGATCATCAAAAGAATTATGATTCCAAATGATTTTTTTTAAAAAAAGACATCTTTAAAAAAAAAAACAAGAGTAAAGAAAATACAAGAATGTATGGATACAATGAAAGGTTGCTGGGCACTAACTAATAACTAAAGGGAAAGAAATGAGAATTTATTTTGCCTTTCTAGTATGAACAGAATTTCCTGGAAATTAAATAGCTCCAGTAGATAAGAGTTCTATATTTGAATTAGAAAATCAACATTTTGCAACTCCTGAGAAACCTTCCAATAAAGGGAGCAGGTTGGACTCACTGATCAGTCTTAGCATCCACTAAAGGTAAGACAACAAGATAGTACATGCTTTTGCATATGATGCAATATGAAGTACACAGTGCCACCTATGAAAAAGTCTTTAAAAAACAAACTAAAAACCTCAGACCTGAATCTAATCAAGCCTGAAGCCTACAGGAAACATGGAGGACATAGGAAAAAGTTAAGTAACAGTAAGAGGAATATTCAGTCAAAACCAGAATTTGAGACTTTCTATGGGACAATTAACCTGCCTTTGTAATCAAGTCAATAGCATTTTTTTTTGACAGTTGACATTCTTTTATTAACAATCAAAAAACTTCACACAATAGGAAAATAAATGTTTCTCTAATGAATAATTAAATGAAAACTATCCAGGACCTTATAGGATTTTTAATGCATCCCAGGTTTGATGTGTACCTTAGAAGACAGGACATCAGCTTGCCCAATCATTAGGTATGACTAAAAATGAGAAACAGTGATTTATAAAAGATTTACCTAATGGCTTTCCGAAACAGTAGCTCCCCTGCTTAAATTAAAACAGGAAATAAAGTTTGTATTTAGACCTAGTTTTAGATGACTCACAATACACATCAATCTTAATTTTATTGTCTTGATGTTACTTTTTTAAAGGTAGTCACCAGAAAACTCAAATCTCATTTTAAGATCATGAATTTGAGGTGTGCAATAAAACTTATAATTTCTCAACATCAAAGTTTAATTATTACACAACAGTTCAAGCAGCAGATTCTACTTCAGACAGTATTTGTCTCATGCCCTGTTTTCTTGCAGCATTAATCACGTGATGGTGTTCGAAGCACATTTAAGACTAGAGCAGGCACTGCTGAGTGGTCACAAAAATCCCTCTTGGATGAACAATGAATGCTTGGTTCATTTCAGAAGAAATGGCTTTTACCTTTTCTATTTCTTTTCTATTATGAGAAACAGAGCTAAACAAAATCTTGAAGTCTCATTTTCTGCTGGATGATCAAAAGCTTTATCTGTAAATTGTCTTAGTCTCTTAAAATCTATCTGATGGGAGGAAAAAACAAAACCCTTAAGGAAGAACAGTGTGCTTTCCCTTGTTCTCGCAACATAAAATCAGAGCAAAAATAGAGCGCCATAGAAATTTCAACATTGAATTTTTTTGAAATCTTAAAGCTTAATAAAACTCAAAAAGTTTTATATTAATCAGTAATCTCTGCATACCTGCTAGTTCAATACAAACCAGGATCGGGCAGACTACTTGTATTCAAAATGCCATCTTTCAAAAAGGTTCTACTTTTCTAAATGGTCCATTTAAAGAGTTCACTGCCTTGTGTACACATATATGTGTGTGTGTATGTGCGTATACGTAAGCGGTAAGCACAGGACTCTCATTTGCACTCCATGAAAGTCACTTCGCTGTGCTAGATGAAGGACGGCAATCCTAATCTCCACAAAGTGTCTTCAATCCACAGGCATACACACAGTTATCACTACTCTCATCAACGCTGCTGACAATTCAGAAAGCCTAAATACTTTCTAATTGAATTCTAAAAGAAAAGTGCCTTAATTTTTTTAAACTTCAGTCTTCAATATTGAAACTGCTAAGTTACTCCATTTTTCTATGCAAAAAAAAAAAAAAAGAAGAAGAAATAGAATCAACTTGGGGAAAAAATAATATACTAACTTGGGAAAACATCCAGTTACTAAACAGGCTTAAGAAAAAACCTATATAGAAAAAGTATTCCCAAAGAAGGTAAAATCTATGTGTTTTGCTCACCACAGGATTATTTGAATGAATAACAATTAGTAACCAATGAAACATTCAGTACAGAACTGTAAAATAAATTAGGAAGTGTCCAATTGATAAATTATACAGCCACCAAAAATAAGGAAAATGACATGACAATGTCAAGCCAAATTACAAAAGGCTCCCTGCTACATTTAAACAGTCCCACCTGCAAGCACGAAACAGGAACACAATTTGACAGGCTGCATCACTGGATTATGGGTATTGTTTTCTTTTATTTAAAGGACTATACAACATAAAGCTCTATAGTGATCATGCATTTTTTTTAAAAGAAAAGAAGATCAAATATGATGGAATAACTCAAAAACAAGTCTTTGAAAAGCAATGTTCCTGGGTAGGGACACGCCGCTGCCCACATCCAGAAACTAACCACCTGCCGCTCTGGGAAGACAGCACCCGACCCAGGCTGCTGCTCTGCAGAGGGATGCTCGTGAACAGGGTGGAAACGTGGGGCAAGTGCCTGGCCAGAACAGTCTGTGGCCTCATTCCCAACATTCATTTTATCAACAAGGCCCAGATTTGTCCACTTTGAGCAGGTACCTAACACATACTTCTATGTTTGATGACAAACTTTCACATAAAAATTTTTTTATTTCTCCCAACAGAAAAATTCAAATGCACCACTATTTCCTTTTCATAATAGAGCAATTCTCAATTGGCAATCAAGTGATATTTTTTAAAAGACAAAATGGTGTTAACCCTGTGGAACATGTGACCAAAAATAATTAAAGGCCCATGGGTGATACCTACCACAAGTACTACTAGACAGAAGATTACTTAAAAAAAGAGCAATTTTCAATAGAAAAACTGAACACTTCCCTTGGGAAACAAATTTAATCTTTTATCATTAAACAACTGGGCAAAGGACCAGGTTTTCTACAAGTGCAATAAGGGGCAAAAGGCTTCCCCAGAGGCGCTAAGAGGACAGGGATGAGATCTTTTCGATGGTTTTATGATGGCAATTATAACCTGCTGGCCGTTTCAGCTCTCGGAAGATGATGTTCAATCAAAAGACTAAATTATACAAAGCACTTACTATTTTCAGTTGCCCAATAACAAAATTTGAAAACAAGAAATTCATAGCATTAAGTCATGTTCATCAAATGCTTGAACAAGCTAGAAATGCTACAATAGAGCAGCTTACTGGTAGACTGCGGTACTCTGTACTACTACAAAAATAGTTGTGAAAAGCTTATTTTGCTCAATGTAATGATCACGTTTTACTTTTTGCAAGCCATGTATCTCTCCGTTACATTCTCCCAGTTGATAACATTCCAAATAGCTTTTAGGTAATCCAGTCTGACATTTATATACTGAAGGTAATAAGCATGCTCCCACACATTGATCCCCAGTTGTGGAATAAGACCTGTTGTTCCTTGCAGGGGATCCTGGTTAAAACAAGCAGCAATCTGCAAGCGTCCCTGTTCTTTATTGAAACCAAGCCAACCCCAACCTGAGCCTTGGACGCCAACGGTTACAGTAGTCAACTTCTCCTTAAATTTGTCGAAGGAACCAAAATCACGTTTGATGGCTTCCAGCAATTCCCCTTTGGGTTTTCCACCACCCTTAGGGCTCAGGTTTGTTCAGAAGATGGAATGATTTATATGGCCTCCGCCATTGAACTTGAGCCCAGGCTGAAGAGCTACCTGAGCTGTAATGTCACCCTTCTCCAGCGCCTCTAGATACTTCTCCTCGATGGCATTCAGGTTGTTCACGTAGGTCGCGTGGTGCTTGCTGTGGTGCAGCTGCATGATCTGGGCGTTGATGTGAGGCCCCAGGGCTCCATAATGGTACGGCAAGTCGGGGAGGCTGTGCTTCTGTCTGGAAGCCAGCGACCCCAGCGCCAGCACCAGCGGCCGGCTCGTGCTGCGCGCTGCCCGGGACAACATGGTGAACTACGCCAGCAGGCTATGCAGCAGAGTTGACTGGCCGCGCCGACGGCTCGGCGTACCAAGTCAATAGCATTTTGAAGGGGCGTAGGGGGAGAGGGAGAGGGAGAAAGAGAATCTTAAGCAGGCCCCACGCTCAGCATGGAGTCTGACTTAGGGCTAAGTCTCATGACCCTGAGAACATGACCTGAGCTGAAATCAAGAGTCGGACGCTTAGCCACCTGAGCCACCCAGGCACCCCTCAAAACATTCTTAAGAAACTAAAACTAAGGGCCCCTGGGTGGCTCAGATGGTTAAGCGTCTGCCTTCAGCTCAGGTCATGATCCCAGCGTCCTGGGATCGGGTCCCGCATCGCGCTCCCTGCTCCTTGGGAGCCTGCTTCTCCCTCTGCCTCTCTTTCTCTCTCTGTCTCTCATGAATAAATAAATAAAATCTTAAAAAAAAAAAAAACTAAAACTAAATGCAATAAATAAACATATTGGTCTACTTAAACAGGAAATTTTTACCACATTACTTCTTTGTCTAAAACTCTTTAGACAGTGGGCGAGGGCCCACTGTTCACTCATTAAAATTCATTCTCAGTTGGTCTGAAAAGTCTTCAAAGAACTGGACTCCCTAGATCCCGAGTTTCATCTCCTTCTTCTCCCTGTAATAAACCTTACTCTCAGGTAATACTTAATTGCTAGCGAAACCCTTCTCTCGGATCCCCATTCTCCCAACATTCCACTGTTGAGTTTGGGATTCATGCTATGGTTTATGATTGTTCCCACCTTGGAATGTCTTCCCAAGTTTCTTTGCTCAGCCAACTGTAAACCCAGCTCATTCATCGTACTGCAGCTCAGGCCTCATCTACCCTAGAAAAATCTCCTCAGTCTCCTCGGTGGAGTATAGTACCCTTCTCATTGCTCCTATGGCACCATGTACATGCCTTTACCTTAGCACTTACCTTATTTGTTGGAATTTCTATTCGTGTCTTTTTCCAACCCGATAGACTCTTCTAAGGCAGCACAGCACAGAACTTAGCATATAACAGATGCTTAACGAATATTTGCTGAACTGAACTGAAGTTCAAATTCCATTGGGAGATGTGAATACTAATCAATCAGTGGTTAATTAATATATTTGATATAGGCATTGTAAAATTATGAAATGATTTGCCTCTCAAATGAAAGTAACTGGAGAGTCAAGTGGTTTGAACAGCATGCTTCTCAGTCTATTTAATTGCTCTGTCAGCTAAGAATTGTAATTCTAATATGTTCTCTTCTTCTGAAGTGACTGATAATGAGTGGAAACTATGTGATTTCAAGAACAGCTATTATAACATTAATAATACAAGCTATGATCTATTAAAAATTATTCTGCTAGTAATATTAAAATTCAGAGTACTTAAAGAGTCTGATAAATTCTAACATAGATAAAGTGGTGGACTAGGTGAGAAGAACAGAAAATATCAGATTGAAGATTTTTCCCTTTGCTGCCATCTTTTGGTTGAACAACAGTAGTAAACCACAAGAAGAAAGAAAGGGAAGGGGTACCTGGGTGTCTCAGCTGGTTGAGCATCTGACTTTTGATTTCAGCTCAGGTCATGATCTCAGGGTTGTGGGATTGAGCCCTATGTCAGGCTCCACGCTCAGCATGGAGTCTGCTTGAGATTCCCTCTCCATCTTCCTCTGCCCCACCCCACCCCCCACACGCACACCTTCTCTCTCTCTCTCTCTCTCTAAAAGTAAATAAATCCTTTTTAAAAAAAGAAGAAGGAGTTCCTGGGTGGCTCAGTCAGTTAAGCGTCTGCCTTCGGCTCAGGTCATGATCACAGGGTCCTGGCATTGATCCCTGTGTCAGGCTCTCTGCTCAGTGGGAAATAATTTTACTCCTGGCACCGGGAAGGGGACTTCACATACATTATTTCATTTTATATTCATAGCATTATTCCATAAATATCATCCTCCTTTTGATAAGAGAAAAAAACTGAGTGTAGCAGACACTGTTGTCAACTTTCTCAAACCAGATTATGTTCATTATGCAGACAAATCCTTCAGAGGAGTCTCAGTGCCCTCTTAGACTAGGGGATAAATTTTAACTGGCTTGAGCAATCACGGAGTTGTCATTGTGCTTGCCAAGATGAGTGGGTTTGAACAGGAACATGAAATTTTAGGCAATGGAGGTTGGGGGGTGGGTGGTGCTTTCAAGAAGGTTATCTTCACTCAAAGAGTCAAGAAGAGACCTATCATTTTCTACCTCTGGACACTCTCATTCATATGTGACCATGAAACTGTGGCAGCCATCTTGGAATCACGTAGGAAGCCAGCCTAACACAGCACACCAGTATGTTGAGAATGGCACAATGGAAAGATGGAAAGAACTGGTTGCTTTTCTTTTTTTAAGATTTATTTATTTATTTTAGAGAGAGAGAGCAGGAGCTGACAGCAGGGAGGCAGAGGGAGAGAATCTCCAGCATCGATTCCCAACGCAGGGCTCAATCCCACAGGCCTGAAAGCATGACCTGAGCCAAAACCAAGAGTTGGCCACTTAACTGACTGGGCCACCCGCTGCTTCAAAAACAGTGATGACATCACTGAGCAGCTGTTCTAATTCTAGACTTATTTTTAGTTAAGATATTAAATGTAATTGTTTAAGTCATTTTTATTTTGGATTTTCTATTATTTGCAACCAAAAGCATCCTAACTGATTCACTGAGGTTTAGTAAAATTATTTACAAGTATAAAGATTTGAATCTAGTATACCATGCTACTCTCTGTTTACTTCTTGCACACAGAAAAGAAGCAGAAACTCTGAGGGAAGAAAGTTTTAAAATGTAACCTTTCATCCAGCCAACAGAAGGTCCAAATTCCTAAGGAAGGACTGTGTAATCCTTGATTGAATCTTGAAGAAAAAAGAAAAAAGAAAACCATAAAGGACATTATTAGGACTATTGGGGAAATTTGAATATGGACCATATATTAGAAACCAGGAGAGCTTACTGTATAAATTTTTTCTATTTTTTAAAGTAATCTCCACCCAACACGGAGCTCAAACTCATGACCCCAAAATTAAGAGTTGCATGCTCCATTGACTAAGCCAGCCAGGTGTCCCTAAATTCTAAGTTTTCTGAGTGGGGTCATTATATTTAGATGTGTAGTAGAACACCCTCATACTTAGCATGTAAAGTAAAATGTTTATTTTTTTAAAAATTTAGAGAAAGGATTCACAATCACTAAGTTTTCTCACAGACATTATTTAAGAAGGGGAGTAGGAAAAGGTTTCTTTCCTTTCCTTTTTGGCAACTGCAGAAATTCATTTTAAAAATTTATCCTTACAAGGATGGATGGAGAAAGTTAAAGCAAATGTGGTAAAAATGTAATGACTGCATCTAGTAAGTGGCATAAGGGTGTTTACTGTAGTTTTGCAACTTTTCTAAAGGTTTGAAATTTTTCAAGATAAAAATAAATATGAAGGTATTCAAATACTTAGAAACATGACTCTCGGATTAATACAAAGTGAGAAAGTACCAAAGGTGAATCTAGGTTAAAGGTTTATTTATTAATGAAAGGGACCAACAGGGCGGAAAAACTGGTTCAAAGGAGAATTTGAGAGACTGGATATATATAATCACTGGGGAAAAAAGAGAAGGCCAGCATATATTTGCTACATTACCTATAAAACTGCTTAAAATGAAAATTGTAACCTTTGGAGTTTATCTTTCCTACTGGACAGAAACCATTTACATTATACAGAAAAAATATCATTTGAAAATTATCCATCCCTCAGGCAACAAACTGAGGGTTGCTGGAGTGGTGGGGGTGGGAGGGATGGGGTGGCTGGGTGATAGACATTGGGGAGGGTATGTGCTATGGTGAGCGCTGTGAATTGTGTGAGACTGATGAATCATAGACCTGTACCCCTGAAACAAATAATACATTATATGTTAAATAAATAAATAAATAAATAAAAGAAAATTACCCATCCATTTGACATTTAACTTCAGAGTCTGGGTCCTAGTGGATTGTACAGTCCCCAGGGCAAGGGCTCTCAAAGTGCTGTCTGGAGACTCTTGGGGGTGGGGTGGGCGGGACAGGCAGCTAAAACCCTTTTTAAGAGGTGTGCAAGGTCCGGGCACCTGGGTGGCTCAATCGGTTAAGCATCTGCCTTCTGCTCAGGTCATGATCCCAATGCGGGGCTCCCTGCTTGGCGGGAAGCCTGATTCTCCCTCTCCCACTCCCCCTGCTTGTGTTCCTGCTCTCACTAATTTTCACTGTCAAATAAATAAATAAACTCTAAAAAAAAAGGGGGGGTGTGCAAGGTCAAATTATTTTTATGATAATACTAAGATAAATATATTTGCTTTTTTCATTTTCATCCTTTCATGAGTGTATGGTGGAGTTTTCCAGAGCCTACATGTGATATTGCAACAGATTGACAACAGAAACAGAATCCATGTGTCTTCTATTAAGCCAGAGATTAAAGAGATTTCCAAAACTTTAAAACAATGCCATTCTACTCACTAATTTATCTTTGGAAAATATAGTTATCTTTTTCTTTTTTTTAATTTACCTATTTGACAGAGATAGAGCACAAGCAGGGGGAGTGGGAGAGGGAGAAGCAGGCTCACCACTGGGCAGAGAGCTCGATGTGGGGCTCGATCCCGGGACCCCAGGATCATGACCCGAGCCAAAGGCAGACACTTAACGAAAGAGCCACCCAGGTGCCTTGGTTACCCAGGCGCCCTAGTTACCTTTAAAATATATATTATTTAGGGGCTCCTGGGTGGCTCTGTCGTTAAGCGTCTGTCTTCGGCTCGGGTCATGATCCCGGGGTCCTGGGATCAAGCTCCGCATTGAGCTCCCTGCCCAGTGGGGAGCCTGCTTCTCCCTCTCCCACTCCCCCTGCTTATGTTCCCTCTCTTGCTGTCTCTCTCTCTGTCAAATAAATAAATAAAATCTTTTAAATAAATAAATAAAAATTCAAAATAAAATATATATTATGTTCGTATGTAATGAGTTACTATTATTTTTAAAT